CTAAGTCGTTGACCATTACCTCTAATCATCATTTTTTTTTTACTCTTAGGATTAGTTGATAAGAGTAATACGTGACTAAATCAAATTGAGGAAAATGCATGTTCTAGAAAATCACTGCTGACATTGTGTAAAAGAGGAAATATGACATTTACATTAAAGAGGAAGGTTTATGGTACTAGATAACTATTTAAGGTCAGTGTATATGAGGCCATTTGCGGTTGGATATCAGCAAGACTGCTGGAGTTACTGTATTATTATCTTTTTATTTTAATGATTGCGTGCGAAATCTGTGTGATTGGGTAAAAAAATTGGTGTTATTTTTTTATGAGGTGAAGGTATGCTAAATTATTTAAAGATGAGTGGATCTCTCTCTCTCTCTCTCTCTCTCTTTCTCTCTCTCTCTCCCTCCCTCCCTCTCTCTCTCTCTCTCTCTCTCTCTCTCTCTCTCTCTCTCTCTCTCTCTCTATATATATATATATATATATATATAATATATATATTATATGTATATATATTATATATATATATATATATATATATATATATATATATTATATATAATGGGTATTTGAACCCATTATTATCATCGCCTGATGGAATAATTATCATCGTCAACTTATCACCTCCTGTCATTGGCTATCAGTTATCAATCATCCCTCGATAAGCAAAACTTTAGTAAATAAATTGATAAATGAATAATGAAAAAAACGAAGAAAAGTGATCATTATGATAAAGTTGATCATCCATTTACCGTCACTTTGTAGAGAAAAAATAGCATACGAAACAAATAGATATAAGATTAGGTTTATGGTAGATGCAACAGCCACAAGGTTATGTGACTGAATATATCTGAATTCATAATATCATCCATTTTTCCTGTACCTAACTTCCCACATTCAGTTCTTATCATATATCTTCCTCTGTTTTTAATGGCAGAAAATTATCTCTATAGGCCTATTTACAATCTGATATTGAATGTACAACACTTGTTGAACATCACTCATATAAATCTATTAATAACACTGTATTGAAGGACATGTTGCAAGAGCTCAGCTTAATCTTGAGTATGCTGGAGTACCAAAGTGATAAGGCATCAAACAAGTATTTCTTTTGCCTGACCTCAAAGTTGAGATTGAATGCATTTTCGGAGACCAGCAATGATCCAATGAAGTTAATAATCCTTTATTTATTATTTTTTTTTTTTTGCAACTTGGCTGCCACGTCGGACAGCTCAGGAAATGTTATTTCCTTGACACCAAAACGTTTTGACTACAAGAGATTTCGTAACCAAGCTCGCCTCGAATTACTGAGGATCACAAGTTTGTTCTTGAAGTGGTCAGTCACGTAGCATAATACCGGCACACTAAGCATTCGTCCAAATGTTGATGCTAATGTCATCTCACACATCTTTTACACATTGTTATCTATTTGTCCATCCGTCTGTCTCTATATATGTAGGAGTATAAGTATAATTATGCACATACTTGTATCCTTACCTATCCAATACACACTCACGTGTATATGTGTGTGCCTATTTATAGACACACCTGTGTGTATGTGTGCGTGTGCATGTGCTTGTGTATATATATATATATGTGTGTGTGTGTGTGTGTGTGTGTGTGTGTGTGTTGTGTGTGCATGTATATATACATGTATATATACACAAATACCTATTTATTTACCCATGGTGTGTATGTACATATAATAAGCTACAATATTGAATTGTGAACTGGAGAACAGTGTATGCGGGTTGATATGGTTCGTGAGTGTTCGTTGCCCCGAAGTCTGCGCACTTCATAGAATCAAACATCTGTTCGACCAAAAACGTCATCTCTAAATATATGTGTGTGTGTTTATATATAAATAAATGATATATATATATATATATATATATATATATATATATATACATCATGATAATTACAATTATTATTATTATCATTATTATCATTCTTGTTATTATCATATTATTATTCTCAATATCATTATTTCCTATTGTTATTATTATTATAATCATTGTTATTATTATTATAATTAATGTTATTATTATTATAATTAATGTTATTATTATTATAATTAATGTTATTATTATCATAATTAATGTTATTATTATCATAATCAATGTTATTATTATTATAATTATTGTCACTATTATTGCTGTTGTTATTTATTCATTTATTTTTTATTATTTTCATTCTTGTTGTTATCATTATGATAATAACTATAATTATTATCATTATCATCCTTATCATTATTATAATCATTATTATTGTTTATTATTATAATCACTATCATCCTTATTATGATTAATGAATTTATTTTCTTTACTATTATTATCATTATTGTTAATGATATTATTATTATCATTATTTTTATCATCATTATCATCATCATTCGTATTGTTATCGCTATCATTATTCTTATTCATATTATTTTTTCTTATTATTAATAGCTTTTTATTGTTATAATAAGAATTATTATTATTCTCATTATTATAATTATTATCATAATTATCTTTATCATTATCATTATCATCATTTTCATCATTAGCATTATCACTATTATTATCATTATCATGATCATCATTATTATTGTTAATATTATTTTTGTTATCATCATCATCATTAATGTTACCATTATTATCATAATCATCATTATAACTACACCCACTGTTGTCGTTATTATATATATATATTTTTTCTTCTTGGCAAGTATACTACACTGAAGTAGTTAGACCGTCAGTTCATAACCATTTCTTACTCACACTGTTATCTGAGGAGGGAGGGGAGGTAAGGAAGAAGGTGGGAGGGGAAACGGAAAGGAGGGGGGGGGTGAAGAAATGGAGACTTTTTAGACGAAAGAGGGGAGAGGGAGAATGAGAAGAGGAAGGGAGGGAAGGAAGAGAAATGGGTAAGAGAAAAACGAGGGGAAACGGAGTTGACTTATAAAAGGAAAGGGGGAATGGGTAAAGGGAAAGAAAAGGGGAGAGAAAGGGGGAATGGAGGAGGGAGGAAGGGAATAAAGGAGCAAAGGAAGTATAAGGGAGTTTAAAGAGGAAGGGGATGGGTATGGAGGGGAGGGGGGACAGATTTACAACTTGGGGGTAGAGGAGTAAAGAAAAAAAATGCTAGTAATAACAATGATAATGATGAAAATGCTGTTACTACTACTATTATTACTATCAATATTGCTACCTCTACTATTCGTATTACTATACTACTACTATTACTACTACTGCTGCCATCATTACTACTAATAATAACATTAATGTAGATCCGAATATCAACAATGATACTGATAGTAATAATGGTATTAAAGAATGACAGTAATAATGATAACAATTATAATAATGATAATATCAATGATAATGGTGATAGCAATAATGATAGTGATAATAATGAAGATAATAATAATGATTATTATGATAATAGTGGTGATGATAATAGTAATAATGATGATGATGATAATAATGATCATTATGATAATAATGGTGAGGATGATAGTAATAATGATGATGATGATAACAATAATAATAATGATAATAATAATAATAATAATAATAATAATAATAATAATAATAATAATAATAGTAATAATAATAATAATAATAATAATAATAATAATAATAATAATAATAATAATAATAATGATAATAATAATAATAATGATAATAATGATAATAGTAGTAATAATAGTAATGATAATGGTAATAGTAGTAATGATAATGATGGTAATGATGATAATGATGATAATAATAATGATAGTAATGATAATGATGGTGATAATGATGATAATGATAATGATAGTAATGATAATGATATTAATATTAAAATGATAATGATAATAATCATAATAATAGTGAGAATATTATGATAGTACTAGTGATAACAACAATGGTGATGAAAAATGTTATTGTAATAACAACAATAACAATAATTATATAAATGATAATATTAGTAATGATAACAATGACAAAAATTATACTAATGCTAATGACAATAATGAGAATGATTATAATAATGTTAATGATAATAATAGTAATGATAATAATAATGATAATGATAATTATGACTATAATAGTAGTAATGATAATTAAAATAATAATAATGATAATGATGATAATGATAATGATGATGATGATAATAATGATAACAATAATGATTATGATCATAATAGCAATAACAATGATACTAACAATAATAACAATTGTAGTGATAATAATAACCATGATAATTATGATGATTATGATGATGATGATAGTGATGATGGTGATGGTGATGATGAAGATAAAAATAGAGATGAAGATGAAGATGACACTAATAATAATAATGATAATGATAACAATAGTAACATCAGCAACAACAACAATGATAATTGTGATAGTGATTATACTGTTAGTCATCTTAATGATAATAATGATAACAACAATAATATCAAGACCGACAGCAACAACAATAATAATAATGAAAATAACGATAAGGATAATAAGAATGACATTGATGGCAATGGTTATGTGATGAAATGAAGATAATAATGATGATGATGATATTAATGATGATACTGATAATAACAGTAATAATAATAGCAATGATGATAATAACGATGTGATGATAATAATAATGATGATACTGATAATAACAGTAACAATGATGGTAATGACGATAATAACGATGTGATGATAATAATGATGATAACGTAGCATGAATAACAATGAAAATATAAATGAAAATGATAATAACAACAAAAATTGCGATTACATATCAATAACTCTAGTACTTATCAGTATTAGAGCTTACTGTATTGATAAGAAAAGCAATCCAGAATATTTAAATTTAGCGCGTTGAAATTGACGCCTGCGCAGGTGTCAGGACTGAGATCAACGGCCAATCATCGCGGAGGAGAGCGGAGGCCGGACCAATCAGAGAACAAGGCAGGGGGCAAAACGCGTGAACGGCTCTTCCTGGACCACAGTATAAAAATGATCATGACGGCGTCAACATGCTCTAGATAATAAAGACAAATTTTTAAGTAGTTTCGTTAATTAGTTATCGCTGGTTCGAGAGGAGGGTATTTAGATTACCCTACGGGTTATCGCAGGTTTTCCCCGGTGCAACCCTTTGTGCTTTGTTCCTGACGGCGACTTTGCAGCCGATTTTTTCTAACATTTAGTGAAGTAAAAGGAACGTGTTGGTTGAAAGGATGGCGGAGGGGGCGAGTCCGGTCCTATAGTCAATTAAAAACATGGAATTGCTTTCTGATTAGCCCCCTTTATGCAACATGGATAGAGTGTGCGGCATAACAACCACACCTTAGGCTATTCTGAGCTTGCAATAAGGTCCCCAAAAGCCGTGCAAGGATGTCAAGCAGGTGAGAAAAAGGAGAAAAAACGTTGGGAAAGGACTTGGTGGCCTTGGAGCAGCCATACATTTCTCCTCTCGTCAGCCTTGTCCAAAGAATGCTGAATTTCTATGCTTGATTATACACCTTTTTACATGAAAAGCATATGGTATTAATGTGCTTAATTGATAGAAGAGCTTGGTAATGGAAAAGCTTAGATCAGAAGGGGAATTTTAGAGAAATTAAGGATGAAAGTACAGCAAGTTACAAAAAAGTGCACATTCATTGAGAGGAATGAATGGGCTTTAATAAAACTTTAGGTGAAAGGCAAAACTATATTTTCAAATAAATTTTGCTTGGAATTTAGCAACATCAAATATGCCTTTTAGACTAGCAACCACTGCATTAAGTAAAATTATTGAGGAATCTAGGCCATAATGATTATACTTCTATGTGTGACCTTGCACTGTTAACACTTACCATATTACATAATTTCTTACATAATCCTTTTATAAGCAGAATAGATTACCAAAGAGAGGTTAAAGGAGAAATAATACCAACAACAAATAATAAAGAATAGAGAAAATAGAGAATTTGCCACACCTTTTCAATGCAAATGAAAATGCAAATTGATGGCTTATTTCTAAGTAACAGATTTATTGATATTTATTTACATATTTATGCATATATACATATGGATACTTGGTCTTTTCACTTTAAATGATACTGGAAGTATTTAATACCTTAGTTTGTGTCAATTGAAGATTTATTTGATATGCTTTAAGGTTTTAAAACCATAGGAGTAGTTTGCAGAGAAGTATACAGTTTCATTATTTGGAATAAGAAATATGTATCATGTAAGAAATATTGAGAAATGCATTGACTATTTTCCTTAATTTTTACTTGGGGAAAGAAGTCATAGATGAGAAATATCCAGCCGAGTAGACTTCTTCACACTCGTCTTTAGCTAGAAATAAACGAGTGCTAATTTTTATCCTTCTTTATGTCAAGCTTTAAAAATCTTTCTCAACGCGTCATACATCTACAAAATCTGCAAAAACAAAAATGTGAAAAGTCTTGAAATGACCACGACAAACCACTCACAGATTAGACCGGTTGTTCCTGCTGCTGGAGACAGGAGGCTCTGGCGTTACACGGCAGGCGGCAGCACAACAGCTAGGGGAAGTGGTTCGCCTGCATCCCCACGATCTTAACTACCTCCTGAGTCGCGTCCATGTGTACCTGAGCTCTAAGTCATGGGAAACGAGAATAGCTGCAGGTCTTGCAGTCGAGGCCATAGTGAGGAACATTCCGCAGTGGAATCCACAGCCTGTGAAGAGAGGTGTGCCTTTGTCTCTGTTTTGAATGACTCGGATTCTTGGACTCTTACAGTATGATTCTGTAGAAACTATATTTATGCAAATTATGATTATAATAGTGAAAGGAGTAGTATTTATTCAAGTATTAACAGCAGATAATGATAATGAAAATTATAATTCTCATGATGATAAAGAAAATAATTAGAATGATAATGAAAGTAATTGTTATAATAAAGCATTAATGATCAGCATCATTATATGTTATTTTGAATATAATGATTATAATAATTATTATTATTATCTTTATTAGTAGTAGAAATGGAAATAGTATTTGTATATTTTTAATGATTTTAATTAATAATGGTACATTAATTTGTTTTTGCCATTATTAGTAATGATGATTATAACAATAATGATAACTAACAATAACAGAAATGATATGATAATGATTATCAATATTGACATAATTGGTGTTAATATTATTGTTATTATTGTTATCTTTATTTTTATTGTTTTTCTTATCAGTATTGTCATCATCATTATCATTAACATTATCATTATCATTATCATTATCATTATCATTGGTATCAGTATCAATATGATATTATTGTTGTGATAATGATTATTATAGTTATTATTATTGTTATTGTTGATCATAATGAAAATGATGAAAATGATAATGTTGAGAATGATTATTACAATGATAATAGTATTGACTGATGATGATATTCATAACTATAATGAGAATAATGTTAACATAATTGGTAATGATAAAACTGAAGATGTTTTAAAATTTTTATTATAATATTACTTTCATTATGTTATGCCAATGTATCTCAAGTTT